TAAACAATCATGATATCCAATGACAGTACAGCACAATAAATCGAAGAGAGGGAAACTGCAGAAAAAAACTTATTGGAAACCGAAATAAAGGAAAAAACTAGCAACAGCATTAATAGACAGGAAGATATCAACTCATGTGGCTTACCGCGTTAACGCTACTGCACCTTCAATGGTGTAGTACTTAACCTATATTATGTTTTTCCACGTGCTATATGTTACAATATCTATATGACATTGTATGACCTGCTACTAATGCAATGATTCTGAAATCTAGTCACGAATCCCTTCCAATAGCCTTATCATTAAGGGCGAGGGGGATATTACAGTAAGAATATAGACTTAAAATCGGTACTGTTAAATTTACAGTTTAACACTTCATGTCAATAATACGACGAACAATGAGTGAACCGAAAAAGCAGGTCCTTCATAAGACATTTCGTGGAGTACAAATGAAAGCTCCTGGTTATGCATCATGACAAACAGAAAAAGAAAATAAGAATTAACTAACCTGGAAAAATTTGTACAGTGCAAAGGATTTGGAACTGTCCTTCGCATAATAAGCACCAAGAATTGAATATACCTAAACAGAACAGCAATAAAAGAGTGAAGGATGAATATAAACAGTATAATAAGTAACAATTAAACTTACTGTAAATATTGGAAACGGCATGACTAATATTGAATTCTAATGGTTGATATTACAACCCACACAGTAGAATTCTAGGCACAAGAATCACTGGTCGGTTAGACTTCTTCAGCTAGATTTTTCACTCAAGATCGTTAAATATGCTAGCTGCTGAGAAAATCGATTCTACTCACTACCTGGCTATGGTTTTTGAGATAGTTTATGAGCGAAAGAAATAGACACAAAATAAAAGAAGAACCCTAACAGGCCCCAACACCAAACGTTTGTATATCATAAGTTAAGGATCTTTCACAGATATTTGTGAGAATTTTGAATTACGCGAATATTTGCGATGTTCATTCAGCCAAAATAAATATCAGATCGTCGCAGACAAAAGTCAGACATAACTCTATCAAAAAACAGTTATTGTCTATGAAACAAAAGATATCCGGAATAAAAAATTAATCACGTATAATGCAAAACAGAAAGTCTATGGAACGACAAATCGCTACGGACAATTAGGTCAACACCTAACACGCCTTCTTCATGTACAGGCGTAGTTAATGCCTGTTTGCAGCAACTGGCTCGCTCTGAGTGGAAAGCAGTTTAGATTTAGCACTCTGTCTAAGCAGTCGCATGCCGTGATTCTGTAAA